TTGGCCCCCACTCTGGCCATATTTAGGTGGGTCCTTCAGATCAGGCTCTTTTCCCAGACCTTGGGCTAGAGCGGGTGGGGGACCCTTTGTGGTTTGTTTGATGTGTAAGATGGTGGATTGTTTCCTCCAGACACTCTTTTTTTTTTTTGCATGGATGGCTTTATTTTAAATTTGGTGTATTGTACACCACCCAGAATTGTAATAAAATCACATTTTAAAAATTACAGTCCGTACCTCTGAAAAATGTACTGGAAGGCTTCGTCCATTCTCCTTGGCAAAAGATTGCATAATCTGCAGAGCCTTCTCGCCTTTTTTGCGAGTGATCAGCCATCGTGGAGATTCAGGGACCAGCCTGCCAAGACAGAGAGACTAATGAGGAAGAGTCGGGCGCTGACAGCAGGTAAGATTTATTGCCTGCAAGAATGTCAGAACTTAATCAGCATCCTAATGAGTTCTTGGGCCTTTCAGTTCTTTCCTGGCACTCTGAGTTTCTTTCTCCCTCCTGAAAACTTCTTTTGCTGGTGAAAATGGGTCTTACAAATCTGGCTACTTCTCCCAGCTCCCCTGCTTTTTGGAATATCCTTCCTGATGAAGAGTCCTTTGGAATTTAAAAGCTCTCATACTCTTTTGTGTTAGTTTGGTTGATCCTAGAAAGATGATTATTATACTGTGGGTTTTTACTTTTTTCATCCTGAGATAACAACATAGCTACCATTGTTTTTTATGAGCTAATTAAATGATATTGCATATGGTGAAGGAGATAAGAGGCCCAATGTATTTGAACTATGTGAAACTAATGAATTGAACCATTCCAACAGTAGGCTAGAAGTTCATATTGATTATAAGAGTGACTCATACATGTAATTTGATGCCTCCGAAATTCTATCTAAATTCTGGAGGGCATCAAAGCCTTTCCTTTCTTCCCATTCCTACTTATCAGGCAAAGATAAGATACATTGATTTCATTTCCTCCATCTTACAGTTTTTCATCTGACTGACAAGCTAATATCCATTTAAATTAGCATTCTTTGAGTATGATTTTAGAATAAGTTATCTATTCATGTAATTGTAATGCTATCCAGCTCTCATACTCATCAGCTTGATGACCATAATTTCATGGAATACTTTGTCAAGTGTTTTTGCCTGAATCAATACATTATATTTATACCATTCTCACTATTAAGGAAGTTACTCATTACAAAAAAGCTGAAGTAAGGTTAGTCTGACAAGACTTGTTCTTCACAAATCCCATGTTGATTTCTACTCTAATATCAATAAATTCAGCATTACATTGTTGCTTTCCCACAGTCTTCCTCTTAGTTCCACTTCTTTAGCTAAATCTTCTCTGTTGGTGAGTATAGTGCCAAGGACATTTTCTTATGTCTTCCTTTATCCTGTGAAGAAACAGGTGTCAGCAAAACAAGCCAGGGATTTCTTGGAAGTACCAAGTTTGGCAGAGCTTATTTTTCAAAAATGTCAAGATAATTATAGTCTTCCATCGCTACTACTTCTTGCTTCTACAAAATATTTGCCATTTGCTTTTGGAATATATCACCTGCATCTCCTTCTTGGCTGAGAGGAGACAGCAGACATCACAAACAATCTGAAGTTCTCTATAGTATCACCAAGTTCATCCACTTGGATTTCTAAGCAGGTATTGCAATGTTTCTTCACTTTGTATTGCTTCTGCTCCTTTTGAACCATCCTTCAACCATCCATGCTGGCTGGGGAATTCTGGGGGTTGAAGTCCACATATCTTAAAGTTGTTAAGGTTGAGAAACCCCGCTATAAGCATTGGAGCCATCCCATTAGGTCTCTGTAATATTTATTACATCATTATCATTATTGTCTTCCTGCACTAAAATTTCAATTTCTTCTTCTTTATTTACTGTATTCTGAGCATTAATATACAGTTAATAGAGCTCAGAAACTTTTTGAACCAGTGTTCATTATGATTTCTCATTGACTGGTTTAATAGGTCCCATTGTAGCAATATCCCCACTTCCTTCCACAGTGCACAGGTCTTTTTCTTAAGTTTTTTACTTCAGGATTTTGTCTCCAAAATTCTCCAGCTTGTACTTACCATGTTTTGGCTGAACACATTTTGGCCAGTTCTTGTGAAGCTTATTTTATGCCAATTGCACGTGCTCTTTCAGTATAATTTGTGCCCACATAGATTAGCAGAAAGAGATCCTTTTCAGTGGACTTGATAAGTCTTAGAAGTTGTTTTGACACACATCATACCTCGCCAGCCAACAAATCTATTCAGTACATGCTGGTTTTGGTAGTACTGAGTCATTAATGATCATAACTCCTTGTCTTTTTGCAGGGTGCAGCTACATCTTCTCTGCCCTTCAGAGATCCACTGTCTTACCATGCCTCTTTTTCTTTCACTGAAGACTCAGAGTCCATTTCTTCTACAATGACCTCAGAGTTGTTTCTGAGGCCCAAGAATATATATTCTACATCTCTTGCTCTTATTTGTGAGTCTTGTCCACTGAACTTGCTCCTTGATTCTCTTCTTTACAGAGAGTTTCTTCCTTTGCCACCTCCCACTGTAGTGCCTTTTGCTGTAAAGTGCTATCAAATGCCAGTCTGCAGCATATTTCTTAACTGCTGATTCCTTTCCTGTTGGTAGTTGATCTTAAAAGACAGAAGATATTCACCACTTTAGTGTCTTCATTGTCAGTTCTAAGCCTGGTTGCTGTACCTGTTGTCATGAGTTTGGTCTTCTTTATATTTAAATATACTCCAATTTTTTCACTGTGTAAAGTATTAGGAGCTGTTTTAAGTCTAATAACTGAATGCCTTAATTATCTTATTATTAACAATAATTGCAATAATATTAATAGAATATAGTAATGGCATCATAAAGTTGATGGTTTATGGCTATTCATTAATAATGGTAAGCATTCATATTGTGTCCTTTATAGCTTTCATACCAATATAGGTTAATAATCTACTCCAAGTCCAAACTATAGCCCAGTGTTATTGTTGCTCCCATAATGTAGATGTCAGAAGAGCTAAGTTCAGCTTTAGTTAATGACTGAGAATCAGGCAGAGAAATTCTCTTAATCGCTGCACGAGAATGATTCTCAGCTTATTACGATCACTAATTTTAGCTTTCCTCCATCTGGTGCCATTAATATGTGTTGGACTTCAACTCCCATAATGTTCATAACCCTTTGGATGTGCTTCTTTGGGGATACATTGGGAGTCCAACATCTAGAAAAGGCTTTAAGTTGGGAAAGGCTCTTTTACAGGAAGGAGCTGTAATTTGCATTAAATAGGACTCATGATAAATATATCAGAAGATAGGTTTTGGGCAGGGAAAAAAGAGAAAGTAATGGGAGAGTTACCAGTAATATAGTAGGAAAAGAAAGTTGGGGAGCGTGGTAGCTAGCTGAATCCCCTGCCATGTGGGAATCACATAAGCAATTCCAGGAAGAATCACAACTCCGAGTGTGAAGAATATCTGTATTACAATTCCAACGACTCTTCGGTGATCTGAACCAACCAGCTCTGTTACTGAATTGACAAAAAGACAAACGTAAGACTTTGAAAGAAAACAAGAGATCTGTTATAAAAATCACAGGTCAAATAATGGCATGTCACTAGAGTGTCTTACGTGCAGGGAGATTTTGCTTCTGTAAATACTTGTCTTATATTTACCTTTTTCATAATGACCGGTCTTGTGCCAAAGTGGACAGAAAAGAATTTGTGTACTTTATTTAAGTCTCCCTCAGCCTTAAAATCACTTTGCTATTTTGAGATGGGGGAGTGGAAGGGAGGCCATTTGCAAATATTGTTACAAATATTTGGTGCTCTGAGCATTACCATATGTGGCTTCAGATCTGGATGGGAATCAAATTGAACTCATGCTGTTCATTTGCATACAACCTCTTCCTTGTAGTAGGAGGAAGTCTGGACCTGGCATGATGGGAAATGCCTGGTGAAGCTGCCAACCAATGATCTGGTTGACTGTGATTTATGGAGGTTTACTTTGCTTCCCACATAGATCTGAAGCAATATCCAGTAATGCTCTATGATCTGATTCACACATACCAATCAACTGTTTGCTTGCATGCTCCTTTCTTCCACTCATTCTGTTGCACATCATAACATAATATAATGTAACATAATGTAATGTATATAATGCATAAGCAACAATTCACTATTAACAACTTCACCAAGAAGGTGTGCTTTAATCTCTGTGTGCAAAGCCAAACATCCATTCAAAATTATGGGTAATCATAATTACACCACTGTTTCTTAGGTCAGACAAAATGGGAAACTAGTTTAACAAACTCTGGACATCTTGTATTATGATATGCAAGAAAAAGGAGAAAGCTAGAGGTGGGAATAGAGAGCTAGTTTGGTGTAGTGGTTAAGGCACCAGGTTAGAAACCAGGAGACCGGGAGTTCTACTCCCACCTCAGGCACAAAACCAGCTGGGTGACCTTGGGCCAGTCACTCCCTCTCAACCCTAGGAAGGAGGCAATGGCAAACCACTTTCAAAAACCTTCCCATGAAAATTGCAGAGATTTATCCAGGCAGTCGCCAGGAGTCAACACCAGCTCAAAAGTACACACACACACACACACACCCCAGATGGGAATGCTGAAGCATAATTTATGACACCAAAATTGTTACATCTGAATCAGGTCTCTAACTCATGCAGTGATAGAGGAGCCTGTATTCATTCTTAAATGCATTTGTAATGCAGGTGCTTAGCACAAACTGGAATCAGGAAATACTTTGGAATATATGATTATATATGCAGATCATATTAGGTTCAGATTTCAATTCCCCAAGCTGAATGCAAACCAGGAATTTTGATTGACAGCCTATGAGAGGTTCAATAAATGAATTGTTTTTGCAATTCCAAGGGAAATTAAGAGAAAGAGAAAATCAATTTAGCTTCTAGCAAGATGAAATACATAATCATATGCTAAAATGGGAATATCATAAGTGGTCTAAGTCTTGAGATGAAACCAGACATGACATTAAATGACACTGCAGGTAACACATACTTGTTAAAAATGCAAACAGTATTTACTAGCAGGATGGTCATTCTCCATCCCTACAGTTCAGGAAGAAGAACTGCCTGTTTATTTCCCCGATTAAAAGGGAATTCCTGGTCCTGATTAAAGGCTTCTTTGAAGCTTCCAGCAGAAAAATAGGAAATCCTCTTTCAACAGAATGATCCCATAGAAAATTCTACAATAAAACCCAATTCAACAAAGCTCCTTCAATAAAGCTATTCGGCTTCTATATGTTCCCCCAGCTACATTGGGAAAGAAATGAAAACACACCATGCCTTACCCAGTACAAAGCTTGTCATCCAGGTTCCCTTTCCAAAGATTCCTTGTAGAAAGCGAAATATTGAAAATACAACAATGTTTTGTGCAAAAGCCACTATAAGGCCACATAGTCCTGCCCCAAAGCAAGAAAAGAGATAAATGGTGATTCTGCCAAATCTGTCAAGGGAAGCAAAATAAATGAATAAATAAAGAAGTGGAGCCAAGAGGAGGAAAAGATGTTTTGAAAAACTCTAGTGAAACTTCTCTTCTTCCCTCAGATTATAGGCACTTTATATAATTTAATATATATAATATAATTTTGCCCAACCTGGTGCCTTCCAGACACATTCAATTACAAGCTCCATTATCTTTAATCAGCGTAGTTCATTACAACTTCCATTATTAGTTTATTTAGTTTAATAAAACTTTTTGGGAATATCTTCTGCGTAAACATGCATAAGATTGTTACTACTATACAGCTAGATCTTCTAAATACTTTAACATATGAATAATTCTTAGTTGAATACTAAGGTATCTCAGACTATTTCAACTCCTTCTAAATATTAACAGCCTGGGAATGTGCATGTCTGTGGAAGAGATCAGATGTTTACCACTGCTTGTACTAATGGAGATAAGTGCCTTAAAATTTGTACTCTTTTAAAGTACAAGAAGCTGAAGATTAAGGATGTGAAAATTACACCCATTCTTCTACCGACAGATACTTGGTGGCTGATTGTAATTAGGGATGTCTATTCATCCTATAAGGAGACCAGGTCGTTGGAGGTTTTTTCCTTTAGGGTTTTAGTCAGATCCTCAGAAATGCTCTCTATATCCAGCACTATTTAGTTTGTTGCTGGTTTGTGCCATAAGGGTCCAAAATTATAACTTGAGCCATCTGAAAATGATGAAAACACTGTCAGGAGTGGTAGAATGACTAGAAGCACTGCCAGACACTGGTAGAATGACTTTTCCTGCCACATACTGTAACAGTCCATGAATTTCAGATTCCCTATGGAAACCTAGTATTGGATGTACAGGTTTTGTTGGGAAGAAAGCTCAGTGAAGAGATTATATATGGGACAATGGTTTCCCATTGGGAAATCTAGGGGGAAAACACTTTTTTGTCACCTCTTGGTACCCCACAGTTGGTGTTAGGCTCTTAGATCAAGGAAGGCTGTAGAACAAGAGAGGCTGGAGGGGAGTCAAAGTGGTCCAAGCTTGAGGTTTATGTAGCAGCATAAACTTGCTTAATTCTGCTCATCTGTATTTAAATACCTGTAGCTGTCAAGATGAGAGCTAGAAAATGCATACAATATCCTGTATTGGCCTCCAGATTGAGGAAGTTTCTATCCATCACTAGGACAGTGTTCTGATACTTTGGTTTCTTAGCAAATGACAATGGACACAAACCACAGTTTCCCATATTTGAACAATACAGAAAAGTATGTTTTGTAACAAAGGATGAATGCAGGCTTGCAATGTACTTCCCTCAAATTTGAGCTTGAGGAAGAGGGAGAGGAGCATGCAAGTCCAAAACCAACTATAGTAAGATTTTTAAACCATCTTTTTGGTTTGTGACTCTTTTAGCATTCATCTTCCTGCCCCCTTAAAAAAAATTCTACAGCTAGCTTCCTCTGATGGCACCTGGTGCTTCTGAAATCATTCAGGCGAAGCTGGATGCTGTTGCAGCAAATTGGTATTTTGAGAAAGGAAAGGAAGTTAACAGCTGCAGCAATATCTTAGTAGAAGCCAAGCCAACTGGGGATACTCATACAGTATGCAGATAGGTAGAAGTGTGTACATATGAACTCCAGCCACAGATAAAGGAAGAAGTAGAGGAATCTAAAGACATACCTTGTTTTATTGCACTTTGCTTTATTGCGCTTCGCAGATATTGCTTTTTTTTTTTTACAAGTTGAATGTTTGTGGCCACCCTGCATCGAGCAAGTCTATCAGATGATGATTAGCATTTTTAGCAATAATTTTTTAAATTAAGGTATGTACATAGTTTTTTTATACCTAATGCTATTGCACACTTAATAGGCTACAGTATAGTGTTAACATAACTTTTATATGCACTGGGAAACCAAAAAATTAGTGTGACTCGCTTCATTGTGACATTCATTTTATCGCGGTGGTCTGGAACTGAACCCACAATGTCTCCGAGGTATGCCTGTACTTCTGTTTACTCATTGCATGGCATTGTGTATAGACATGAGGAATTTTTTTTCTACTCAAGGGCTTCTCAGCACAGCTCAAGACTGACGTCAAATGAGAGGTGGGATGAGTATCGCCTTACTCATCTGAGGACTTCTTTTCTCAGAAGGATTCAATCATTAACTTCCTTCTTCTCCTTGAATCCATAAATATAGGATAATCATGTGCATAATATCAGTACATAATGTATGTCTCCCGCCACCTACATATTGTATGGCATAGCCTTGTTTTGCCACGGAAGATAATGCAGTCCATAGATAAGTGTTCAAAAGATAATGTTACCTGTCTGCAGCGTATCCCAGAACAAACCCTCCTACTAGAAAGCCCATATTGAGAACAGACTGAGTCATGTCTACTATCCACTTGTTCTCACAGACAAGGTCATACTGCAGAAGGAAGCATAAAAATACAGTAAGTTTCAGTAGAAGAACAATGGATTTTAGGTCTTCCCTTTCCCACTCCCTTCTTTCTTAGAGACACACAATTTGTCATCCAGTCACCATGTTGGACCCATGTGCTTAAACACAAGCATTGTTTTGTTGGTTTTATAAAGTGATGTTCCAGTATATGAGAGAGGGAACAGGGTAAATTAAAAAGGTAATTAAAAATGCATTAGAATAATATCCCAGTGATAATACCCAGTTCAAATTAACATCTATAAAATGATCTGTTCCCTCCCTGGTCTCTTAAAGCCATTCCAGAGTCATTGAAGGTTGTGCATGGGCTGGGACCTGAGTCAGGGGCTGCACACATTCATGCTTGTCACATGTGTGTGCATGCATATAGATTTCCACACACACAAAGCCTCTACATGGTATTTGGGATTAAATAACCACTTACTATATTAAAATTAAGGCAATGATGTTGTTAGGTCAATGTAAGGTGACAGCGTACAAACCTTTGAGCTCTGAGGACACTTAGGGAAGACAGAAAAAGAATATGGATGGAGAAGTTGCTGGTTAAGCCATGGCTGGCTTTTGGGCTCCTGTATAGCAAGGGATGGCAACCTAGTTAAGTCAGGTTCTGTACTTTGTTTCTGCTTTTTAAAGAATCCACAGGGTTTGTGAGGTGCAGCTTTCCTGTGGTGAGGTCACAGAAGGAAAGATTTGACAATGTTCTACCTTTTTAAAAGAGGGCCCTGCACAGTCTTTGCATGCTTATTTTGGTTCCTCCCACTGTACAAAATCACAGAGCTCAAAATCAACATGTTTGGTATCAGTAATGGGCAGCACAGTCTGGGGGTGCTGTTAGGGCTGAAAAAGTGGGGCTGGAAGACCACCTGTAAGCTCTAAGTTGTCTACCTTTAGGATACAGAGTGATAGGGAAGCTGCATTAAGGAAGACAGATGGTGTGGTTGACAAGCCAGCAATACTTGTTGCAATAATTCCTCTTTTCTCACAAATGTTTCTTGCCTCTCATTTGGAAAAATGGGAAAACAACGGATATATTCCAGGAGGCTGGATCTGAGCCCAGGACTTGATACTGTTCCCTTCGCAATGTCCTGGGAGGGTTATGTCCTGACAGAATCCTCAGAATTTTTGTACTGTTTGTTTTATGACCAAAATTATAAGATCATCTAGCGGCCTGACTTTCTAATGAATGTTTATAGAGTAGGGTAGGGGATTATGTTGATGGGCCATTATGAATGTGATAAACTATTCATAATAGTATTTTGATAGCAGGAGAAGATGAATCACTTCTTTGTCCAGCACATCTATCTGCTGTGCTGGCGTTTACTACCTGTTGTTGTGACTATGCTCTGTGTCTTATATTTTAATGTAATATGTATGTAGCGAGTATTTCTAAAATAAACTTGCCAACAAAGAGAGCAGACAGCTTTGGTTATTTACAGTATCACCAAAATGGCCTGGCAATGTCAGATTTACCTCCTGGTTCGATCTCCTCCTTAAGCTATGATTTATGCAGGCTTTTCCTCTCTGCCCCCCTCCCCTTGACTATCAGTAGCTGTAAAACACTGAGAAAGAGAAAACAGTTGGGACAACGTAGAGTTACGCTGACAGTGTTTGCATCCTCCCAGCACAGGCTGGGTTCCATGAAGGATCACTTGAGAGGAGCTTTGATTGCGCATGCTGAAAGTATTCCCAAGTACAAAGAGGAAATCCTACTGGTGCATAATAACTGACCCATGGGCTTAACTACAGATGTTTATTTAGGTCAGGGTCAGAGCTGCTGCCACAAGCCAAATCTCTCAGCCCATATGCATCAAAGGCCAGAAGTTCAGTTCCTGACATTTTCCTGGAATTGCAGGGAAAGATGCCCAAGTGAAACTAACAGTGAAGACCATACAGAACTGAATAAATGAATGGTCTGGTTTGGGTTAAGGTGGTTGACCTTTCCAATGCTGATAGAATAGCTTTTCTTAGTTCACAGCCTCAGAATGATCTCAGTCAGTGTGTTACTGTGGTAGGCTGGCTTGAGATTGTGGCTAAAACATATCTGATTTAGGTTTGTTCTTAAGGTGCCACAAAACTTAGACCTGGAAGATGGGAACTACCAACACATCCAGAGGATGCCAAGGCAGGGGTGTGGGAAGGCTGCACTAGAAAGTAACTCCTTCTCACACTTCCACCTTTTTAAAAAAGAAATCTTTCTTTGCTGCCACAGTTCTGTATTAACAATTAACAAAATATTAGCAGAGAGGAGCACAGTAGGACTCGAGACCAGTTTCACTTGCCCATTTTCCTAACCTCACCCACAGCTGGAATGTTCCAATAAAACTGCTACTACTTTATTTATCTAAAGCAATTCATTGACATGAGATACAAGAAGAAAAAAATAATATCTACACAAAATAATATAAATGTACACAGGTACGTGCACACCTGACCTTCCCATATAAGAAAATTGGCTTTTATCAATAACCAGCCACAAATGTAATGTGATAGGGTTGGTACCGAATCACTTCTGTGCAGTGTATATTTGATCAGTTAAATTTATTTTTAAATAAGAAAAGTTTTACCCAGAATCAATTTTAATTGTGTTTAATTATCTTAATATTCCATTAGTCTTGTTCTGTCCCAGTGTCTGGAGGCTGTGAGGGTCTGGGGAAGAAGAGGCTGTGGCTCAGCCCTGCCAAGAGTTAATGATTATGGGTCCCCTGGATCTGGGAACTACAGTGTTCCCACCTTTGTTTCTGGATGGGGTAGCAGTGCCCCATTCAGATTTAGTGCACAGTCTGGAGATTCTCCTGGACTCACTGCTCCTGCTTGAAGAGCAGGTGACAGCTGTGGCCAGGGCAGCATTGGCAGAACTGCTTCTTGTATACTAGTTGTGCTCATTCTTAGGCTGGGAGGCCCTGTTCATGGTCACTCATGCCTTTCTCCTCTCTTGACTGGACTACTGCAACACGCTCTACTATGGGGCTGCCCTTGAAGACCATCTGGAAGCTTCAATAGGTTCAGAATGCAGGACGTGGGTAGTTATAGGTGCATAACTACTTGAGGGACTGCCTTCTCCCAAGAACATCTGCTCACCCCCCACACTCCCATAGGGAGGGCATGCTCCAGGTTCCTTCTTTTAAACTTTGCCATCTTATGGGACCTAGGAAATATGCGTTTTTGGTGGCTGCCCCTGTACTCTGGAATGATCCCCTCCAATATATAACAGGCCCCACTCTGCTTGCCTTTAAAAAAGCTGTTAAGACCTGGCTTTTCCCCCAGGCTTTTTTCCACTGGCTTTTAGTCCAGATGAGTGAAGCTCCCTTTTGCTTGTTTAATTATTGTGTTTGATCACCATTTTATATTTTATATACTGGGTATTTTTTTTAATGTTGTGTAGTTATTATTTTGGTTTATTTATTTATTTATTTATTTTGCTGTACACCACCCAGAGTCACATGGTTTGAGTTTGACAGTTTATAAATCCATCAAATAAATAAATAAATAAATAAATAAATAAATAAATCGTGTTGATGGATTTAAAGGATAAAAAGCACAAAGGGGATCTGATGTGTGTTTAAAATTCCTATTAAAAGAAATAAGGGGAAAAAAAGCTGTCATCTCCATTACCCAAAGAAGCCCAAATTGTACACAAAAAATGTGCATGTACTGAGCCCATTCCAGGCTTATCAATAATACAAAAATGCATCACTGTTATAGGAGTTCAGCTATCGATTCATTGCTCAAAGAATCCTAGGAATTATAGGGCTGATCCACACTTTCTGCTTGACTCAATGCAAGGATAGGCCACCCAACATTTGGGAGGGCAGGAAGGGATGACCTTGACCTCAGCCTACCCTTAGCCTGCCAGGAAGGAACCTCCATCCATGTTTTCTAGCTCCAGGTCAAAACTAATGTCTTTCTCTCTCTTGACTGGTGCCCTTTATTTCATCCTATACAAATGCATTCCAGTTGGTTGGCCTGGGCCTTGGAAGATGCACTCCTCCAGCCACTGCCTTCTGCCTTCAGTGGACACTTTGTGCTGAACTGCCAACCGTGAAAGACTAGACCTTTGTTCCTGTGTTTCCTTTTTAACAGTTTAAGTAGTGGAACCTGCTGGTTCTTTCTGTATTTTTTGTTTTTTGACTGGGTGAAACTGATGACAATTCTTCCAAGTTTCCCCTTCTAGTCCAAAGGACAGGAAGAACTGTAAAACTGTGGTCATTTTTTTCCCCACCAGTCCTCAGAAGGCAAGCCTACCAAGGGGAAAACCACTGAAAGTTGTTTCCCTGTCAACAGTGAAGCAGGGGCAGAGAAGCAGGGAAATCCGCCAATCAGGGCATTTAACCATGTTCAGATGGAACACCTGGCCATCACTGTGGCCAGAGTTGGAGGCAGTGGCTGAAATCTGAACAGGGATTTCTTAAGTCAGCTTCATTTTCATCTGGTTCACTCACAGGCCGCTGAAGGCTGTAGTGTGGGAAAGCCCACTGTATGGTAAGAAGCATAGATAGAAATCTGATAGAAATCCCTTTTCCCTGGATCCTTTCATCTCCCAGAAGTATAGTTCCCAAATTCCATGGGAAGAGAGAACATAGATTAAACCAATTCATGATGCAAGTCAATTCTGTCTTTGGAATTCAATTCAAACTGCAAATAGAATTAGTGGAATAATCTGTATACTTTATAGCTTCCTGCAATTTTCTTTCTAGTTACTATTTCTTTTGTGACTGCACTGGTTTTTGGTCTGGAATGGGGCTGATACGGTTTGTTTTGGTGGTTGTTTTTAAATCAATTCTTTTCATTATTTTATCGTTCATTATGTTTTTAGACATTTTGTGAAGTCTCTGCCTAAGGGGAAGATGCAGTTTATTATATATAGACTGCCATGCTTTCTTCTTGCCTCTTATGAAGAGCCTATGTCAGTGTTGTTCAAACTTGGCCACTTTAAGATGAGTGGACTTCAATTCCCAGAATTTCAGGATTTCTTCACTTTCAGACCATGCCCAACAACTGAGCTGTTGGTATAATATTGGTTTTGTCTAAACGGCCTAGATAGTTTGGAGTGATGATTTATGATATACACACTAATATTCATGCCCTGAAAATGTGTTTGCGAAGATACTATCTATTGCTTCCCCTTCCCCCCTACCTCCCATTTTTGCCAAGGTTTGCAGTTGAAACAAATGGCACTGAACTGCCCTGAAATTTGGCAAGAATTAATAAACCAAAAGAAAATGGCTTTAGACCAGCTAAGGCTAGCTGCCCATTTAGTCCAACCAGTATTTTCTCCTGTGAATGACAGCAGCTCTTCCAGGTCTCAAGGAAAGAGATCTCACCCACCATATTCTACAGACTCCTCCTGAAAGGGAGATGCTGGGAAGAGAGCTTGTACCTTTGACCTGCTCCACCAATGAGATACAATTCTTTTTTAATTTGTTATCAAATGAGAAATTACAGCTAGTTCCTCTGGAGGACCAAGCCAAAACTCTATAATTGAGACAGTATGGTCCTTCAGTGCAAATATGTTCAATTTTCAAGGCTGTTCCCATTCTCATATTCAAACCAATATCTATAATACCATCCCTCCATTCCTCTTTCTCTCTCTCTCTCTCTCTCTCTCTCTCTCTCTCCCCCCCCCCCCCCCCAGATATATACTATTTTAAAGAGGCAATGAAACTTGAAAGGCTAATATTATCTATGACACTTTTACATTGTGTGGAAAATAGGAAATAAACACAGTTTAATCCAAATGTCATATATATTCTTATACTGTACAATATATACCTTCTATGTACATATCATTCATTGACCTGCATTATTAATAAATATTTGTGTACATTTCTTTATGCAAATAAGCATGTTTTGCTGGACAATGTTGCATTCACTTACCTCACTGGCAATACTTGAGTGAGGTTTTTTGAATAGCCAGCCATCCTGGCACGCAGTAAATGACACACCGGCAGAGTTGTTGGTGGTAAAATGAGCTAGTGGGTACGTACAGTTATGCCTGGTGTTATTCCACTTTATGTCATGCCTCTCACATTGCGAAGAATTCACCAGGCTTGCGGCTTGAATGGTAATGTTGTATTCCTCTTCAAACGTCCATTCACACTGCTGCTTCAGTTCAGATACACAAGGGATCCTGCACCAATATTGCTCGGGATCTCGTCCCAGGAAAACAATTCCAACAAATAAAAAGGAAAAGGTAATGCCAGTCTGGCAGAGGAGGAAGAAGACCTTCTTTTGAAACCTTCCAAATTCTCCAGCCTCTTTTAAAACCTCATCGAAAGACGGCATTGTATGCAGTAGTTGTCTCCCCCTTCAGCACTAAATTGGATGAATCCAAACTATAGCTGTGGTAACTTTCTTCCAGTTTTGTGACTATAAACGGTATTTCCTATAACTCATACATTCTCCTTCTCTCTCTCTCTCTCCCCCCATCTCTCATTCTGCCTTCCTCACAAATGTCACGAAGTAATATAAGCAAAGCTGGGACAGATCAAAGTTTCACTCCCTCCTCTTTTTCTTTCGTTCTGAAAGACTCACACACATCCACACATGTGCACACACAGTTATTATATTTGTCTGGCACAATGTGTACACAGAACCATTTAAGATTTCACGATTAAACCGGCACGCCTACAGCTCCAAAGAGGTGTAGATTTCCAATTTATTACCCCCAAGAGATTATGCAATAAAAACTCTTAACGCTTTAGTGACCAACAATTAGTAAACAGGAAGATTCAGCTGAACTGAAGATTCAGCCAATATGCCTCACAGGCAATCTCAACATGCCTTATGGTAAAACAGAAATTATGAAAAGGGTTAACTCTATAAAAATCAACATTTTTCTCCCTCCCTGCATTCAAGGATTAAGGTAATGACATCAAATGCTTGAAATATTAAATAGATAACTATAGAGATTAAGGCTATCTAGATATAGTGATGAGGACAATGGAAGGATAACCGTTTACAGGGGAGGAGAGATGCCCAGGATAATATTCCTTCCTGACAGATGAAGGAATTGAAGTAATAAAAAAAAGGAGGACAAGAAAAAGAAACCAAGAAAAGATACAGGGAGAACACTTTAGAACAGTGTCTCTCAACCTTAGCAACTTTAAGATGGGTGGACTTCAACTCCCAGAAAGGAGGTTGAAAAACACTGCTTTAGAAAGAAAAGGGGCAAAAAAGTCATACATCATAATAAGCTAAGAGAATCAGATGAATTTCCATTATTGCGCAACTTTCCTCCAGGACAGTGACTGATAATAAACGGCTTGGACGTGACTTAATACGTGTATTTGCTTAGGCATATTTATATTTTTAATAAACATGTTTCAATTAACTTTTCAAAAATTGTATTCTGGGCAATTCTCAAGCAATAACTGACCAAACTATTCAAGACCAGTTGGTCTTTTCTCATCTTCAGTTGGACCCTGTGCCATACCTAAATTATAGGGTTTCCCTCCTTCCTTCCTTCCTTCCTTCCTTCCTTCCTTCCTTCCTTCTGACCCTGTGCCATACCTAAATTATAGGGTTTCCCTCCTTCCTTCCTTCCTTCTGACCCTGTGCCATACCTAAATTATAGGGTTTCCCTCCTTCCTTCCTTCCTTCCTTCCTTCCTTCCTTCCTTCCTTCTTTCCTTCCTTTCTTGTTTTTCTTTCTTTCTTTCTTTTCAAACAGGTATTTAATTGATATTCCAAATTATCATTTTAAGCAGTGAAGGAACTGGAGGGTGAAGCATCTCTGGGTCTGTAATGGGCAGTAGAAATAATCTTGAAGAATGAGAGGAAGTGCCACAACCAAGGCAATGGTCAGATAAAAGACACCTGAGTGTGGAGCAGAAATGTAATTTGAGAAAGCATCTCAGACAAGACCCTCTCTAGTTCTCATGAAGATAAAGAGAGGGAGGGGGGAAGCACATTCAGACTTGCAAGTTTCTGTTCCTGCAACCCTATAATATGATGCTGAAAGTTGCCAGCCAGAAATGGTTGACACTTCAGTGGTTTGAGCCCGGCTCCGCGCAGCAGAATGAGCTCCTGCTTCCTCCCCAGCTCCTGCCAACCCAGCAGCTCAAAAACTTATGTGAATAGATAAATGGGGACTCTCACCCCAGTGGGAGGAAAAATGCTGGCGGCACCTTGCAAAGGAGACGGGAGCAGTTGTTGGTAACGAAGCTGCGCACGCCCGAAAAAGGCACGAAGCAATGGAAACCCCGCCTCCTGAGCTTGCCAGCTGGGCTCTGCTCTAGGAAGGAGGCAATGGCAAACCACTTCCAAAACACCTTCCATTGAAAACGGCGGGGACTCGTCCAGGAAGTCGCCGCAGAATCGGTAACGATTGAGTGTGGATAAAAAAACAAATAAGTATTCGTAACTCTGGTA